CGTGCGATAAATCAGTTTTATCGATCCGCTTGGCGAGGGAGAGAATGAGCAGTTGTCAACAGGACACGAGTTCGCAGGCGATTGATCTCACCAAAACGAAATGCGAGTTCCAGGCGTTAATTATGAAATAAAGTGCAGCAAAGTAACTTTCAATGCAGCACAGACAACGCAAGCGAATGATAAACAAACGACAAATTATCAGGGACGGGTAAGTTTCGTAAAATTGATCGTAAACACCCCAAAACAAAAGAAAAAGCTGCTTGCAGACTGGAAAATGGCTGTGTGCATCATTATCATCATCATTAGCAGTTCAACCGTCGTTGCCGATGATGTCCGCTGCAAGGTGAAGTAGACACGGTGACTTGCGCAGGATTTTTATTTATAATGAATGCAGATTGGCGCAGCATCTATCGCACTCAATCCTCCTTCCCCCGCCTAGACTCAATGTCAAAACAAAGTCAAGAAAACCGGAGGCAGGGAGGACGCAGGTGGATGGCACGGTCGAGCCCTCACCTTGGTGTCCCACTTCACACCCCTTGGTCCACACAACGAATGACCAGGTTTTTAACCAACAACAAAAAGGGGCTGGCGCGGCTGGAACCGCGCCTAGGCGTTCTATCACATCTGCCCATATCCCACAGAGTAGGAGTGACATAATGACCCTATTACAAAAAAGTCATTGCAGCCTGATTCTTAGAGAACCAGCCGGCCATTCCGCACAAGTGCACAAAACTGGACCTACTGCGAAACCCAAGTTATCCCGTCAGTCGGTAATCTTTCAGGCCACGGCTTTTAGCATACCATGATAGTTTTAAGCGCGTCGAATTATTTATAGTGAGGAAAACGCGCTGAGACGTCGATCTCACTGTCGCTTTCCATTTCCAGGCCCTAGTCACTGTCCGAGCCGGTCAGTTGATAGGTGCGGCGAATGGGCGCGGTGGAGGCCATATCTAATGATCTTGTCTGCGCGCTCCACATGAACGACCTGGTTCCTCAAACACAAACACCAGGATTTCACGCAACAGGGTTGCACGGCGTATATTTCACATGTGTGAGAATGCCGCTGGTCACGTTAAGAATGAGACACCTTAGCCCACCAGTCCACCATCCCCACCGCCACCACCACCACCACAAGCATCATCGTCGCCATCGTCATCATCACCCCAGATATGTAGTGAAATCCAAATACTAGGTTGCCGGTGGAGACGAATGAGCCCAAAATTTGCCACTTCTGACTTGTTAGTGGTCATCAGGTAGACGTATGCAACTCCGGATTTGGATCCTTAGTCATTGAGCGTAACGTTTTGCCACTAAAGCCACGGACACTTTTACTGTCGGTTGCCGTCGATAATATCGATCATTTAATGAGTAATCCGAATGTTTCTTTTCCCTTTCCGACCGCAGCGAAAGTAAATTTAAACAGACTCTACTTGGTAGGAACATGATAAACGCATTTGCACTTATAATGACGTTTCACGATTTTCTTAACAAAGTAAGCTCGCATGAATGCGAGGAAACTCGAGTTTTCACAAGCCGGTAAAACTACTACGAAATATGTTATGTCTTGTGCACAAAGATCGGTTATTAAAACGCAAAACAAACAACTTAATACGTTTTGTTATGCCCCGAGCTTTTGGTAATTGCCCGTGTAGCAATCATAGTGAATTCCCTCAGCTGGTATTGAGAACGTCTTTGATAAATCTAAAAGCGATCTTTTTGAACGACTGACACTGATTTATCTTTTGCTGCAAAAGACTGCTCCTCTTGTATTCTCTTCGAGCACAGCAACAAATTATTTCACCATGTTTGTCAGTATGTTTAACAGTTCTAATCATACGTACGTGTCTTACAGCGAATACTAGCTTTTTAAGACGATTCAGCCTGCGCTTAACTACCGAACCTGCGCATAGTAGTTAACAGAAATACATGAATTACTCCGATTTAGCTTTGTTCTTCAGCAATCACTTTTAAGCTCGTGTGAGTAAAAGTCGAAACACAGCATAATTTATTTGGATTACTTAATTTGGTTCTTTTATTAGCTCCGGCGATTCTTCCAGAAAAAAATCGAGCCACTGCATAAATGACACTGCTTTTCCGTAGAACTAATCGCCCTACACAGCCTTACAGATTTTACAACTTATAAAAAGCGGTTGTATGCGATAAATCAAGGAAGAGAATTGTTACACAATAAGTTGGTTATAGCAACCGTTTTGCTCTTATATCAGATTTTAAATTTTTACTCAAACCACTCTTTGGAACCACTGCCATATGAAAGCACTAAAAGGTGCAAGGATTGCATACTTTACCCAATGTGGTTTCAAAGTGGATAGATACCTATTAGAATGAACGGCCCCTGAATGCACCGCGGATTTATGCTCTTGACGCCATGATTCCCCGACCGTGCAGGTCAATCGTTGTTTTTTGTTTTATCGACAAGAGTTAATTTGTATCTCAATGGTTGCCCGCTAATATGGTCCGCCGTTGCAGTAGCTGTAGAGGGAGTACGCTCACATCCGACAGGATATCCTCATCAACTCGCGGTATGCTTACAGCCATGTATTTGTCTGTCGATTGCAGCCTGTGTACAGTCAGTGACAGATTTCAAAAACAGTTGACTGCAATAGTGAAATACGTTCCGCACTAAGCAAGAGTGTCTAGGCAGAGTTTTAATATTGATTATCTTGCGGCATTATACCGTAATATTTCAGGCACGCCAAAAGTGCACCTTTTTCGGCTGCATGCAATCAGAGCAAACGCTACAAAACTACTGTGTAAATAGCGGACATTTTTATATTAATGTTCGATATCCACATATAATGAAATATTTTCTTCAAAACGTGCACAAAAATTTTCTTTCTCGCAATCAGTTTGCGGAGGACAACGAAAATCAGTAGAAAAAATCCCCGCCATTTACGTGGCCATTTTTAAACGAGCACTCTTATTTCGGGCGGGCATTTAAAAGCGGATATTTTGGCGTTTTTATAATATTCCGGCATTCTGCCACATGATTATCAGTATTAAAACTTTCATTAATAAGCCTCCCTGAAGATAAACGTATTTTAGAATTTCATTAACCATTCATGAGGCCGATCAATGACTGTACGTTACATCACCTGTTCGTCCACAAACCTTACCTAGTGATGTATTTGATGATGGTTTCGATTATTTATCCGTAACGTTGCGTTAATGGGCATTCTTCCTGAGCATTCGTCAAAATATGTTTTCTTTTGCCCATTTGGTAAGAAATCACATTGTCTTCTTATTTTGGCAGAGGAAAATATAACAAGACAAATTGAGATGCCCGGTTGAGAAAAGTATTAGGGTTTCGAACCGATTGGGAGACTCGTTAATAAAGTAGCATTAGTTTGCGGTTTTTTACGCGTATCAGTGCGATGTCTAAGCTTTGCGTCTAATGAGTAAATGGCTAAGCTACATAGATAACTGTCCAGGTAAACTGGATTACACTACTTATGAGGGATAGAATGGCTCTTATAAACGCGAACATCTGATGGAAAGATAGGTGGCAACGGTATTGTAAGGGACACCACTTAACTACCGGCAGACTATGGGTTATATACGGGAATGACGGTAATGAGGGTCAGCGGAACAGATAGAAGACTATCGAAATGCAAGAAAACGCAGAATCTGAATTTCTGCCGAAAATCATCTCGTACGCTTTCTTATGGCAACGAATATGACTGCGTCAGTTAAAATACAAACAAAAGAGCAAATTCTCCAAAAAACGGAGTTTGAGTAATGCTTTGATGTCAAGGGAAGTTATTGTTGTTTGCAGTATAGTGTCTGCAACGGCCTGCAAACGAATGCCAAGATAAAGCCTAATATGGAATTATCTACATTCTGTGGAAGTTTAAGTGGGTCCTATACCGTGCCGTTGATTTGAGATATATGGTAGGTGTGCTTACTTAAGAAATGTCGTGAGTTTGCACAAAAAACGCCGACTCCTTCTAAGTTTGCCTTCCCCAAGTTTTACAGCCGTGAAAAACGACTGTTTTTGGGAAGAGGGCTGGGTTTGCAACTTAATATTTACTGACGTACAGATAGTCAGCTTTCACTAGGCTATAATTTTAGCAAGTGGCTGGTACATTTTGCTTAATTAGGGCTAACTATGAGGATGTATAAGGGGAAGAGGCGCATGAAGTGGGAAAATAATGAAAAATAATAGCAAATACAAAAGATCTATGACGAATACCTTGATGTTGATGGTCCCCGTAATCAACTTCCAGAGTGGTCTTCCAGGACTTACTGGCCATCCAAACCGTCGGCATTTCTTGAAGGTTGCGCCCAATGCAATATGCACTTTTGGGAGGCTATTTCAACATATGACCATCTGGGTCGACTTCATAGGCATGTCAAAAATACGATTTAATCGCAGAAGAAGCCGCTCCTCCGGCATGAAGGCCGGTAATCGATATATTTCTGAGCACATCAAAAGGTTTTGCAGTGGGTTTCCTACTTATAAACGCCTTGATCATGGTCCGTTGTTGATGCAGTTTAAATTCTTGAATCCTTTTCCGGATTATGGTCATAGAGAATATCGACAGATGTTCCCTATGAATGGCCTTCAAGGGCATATATTGATGACGAATAAGATCGTCGTCTGTCATACTTGCTGACCGTTTTAATCCACAGTGCTTGTTTCTGGCTACGGTTCTATCATCAACTCTTCGCCAGAGAGCAACCTTACTAATATTCAAAAGACCTGCCAACGACTCACGTGAGAACCCTTCCGCTCTAAAATTGCATCCTATGGCGTACATATGTTTTGCTATAAAATACACATTTTTCGTAAAAATGTGTCGTTTCACCTGTACTACATAACATTTGTCAATTCAATTTCTCGTTCATTAATTAATTATTGAGATTAGACATGGCGTATGATCTGCTTATTCATTTAATACCTTTTAGGCACTCAGGGCTGCAAACACGTGTTCTGCCAACCAAAAACCCAGCTCATAGTTATAATCATCGCGCTATGCACAATGCTCTGCCTCTCAATGGCATGTGGCTGTCTCGTCTCTCGAAATCGCCAGCTCTTTGCTCACAAGACTGTACGACAAGACCATGAAACCACCCTCCCCGCGGTCAGTCTCTGTGCTCACTGGAGACGCAAGAAGTTGCGTCGAAAGATCGGGAGCAACCTCTGGAACGCCTCCTCTGCAGCCAACGAAAACAACCAGTTCGAGGCTGACATTCTGCGCAGTATGCCGCAACAGGTAAACTATGTGGAACAGAGTTACATTCACTTCCATTCAACGCCTTCCTACAATGAATTTCTCATCGATGGTTCAGCGCGCGCAGATACTTCTACTCGGAATTCCCTAGTTCAGCCAAATATGGCCAAAGTGGGCGTCAGTCGCGGTGTCGCCAACCCTCGAGGTGCAGAGACTGAGTACACTTTGCGACACATCACCCCAATCGAATTTCAGGGGTCTTTTGAAAATCCGATGGAAACACGAAGTCCTCGATATCAGCCAGCGGGCAAATTGGAACCGAATGTCTCCTCGGAGGTGATGACAACTCACCGACATAAATCGGAGGTTTACAAAGATCCCTCGAAGCCTACTGACGAGGCGTCGAAAGCAAACACATTGCTACCGGCTTCTTCTATCGGACAAAACGTCATGTTCCCACAGGCAATGGGGGCGAGCGTGGTTGGCTTTGGAGTAGGGAACAGTTATGCAGTCACATCAGACAGCGTGCACACATTTCACAACAAAGCAACCGTCGAATCGGTCAGCGACAACTTGCAGTTTGAGCTGGGCCTAAGGCGAGACGATAAAGTGCGATACTCCAATCGTCAGCGAAATGTAAATGAAGTCGCATTGGGTCCAGAAGTGAATCTCCTCTATGCCAATGACACGACAGCACAGATTATGACCCCCAACTTGACAAACTGCCAGTCAACCCATTCTCCGCTCCATCAAAGGTGAGTCACAATTCCACTACTCTTTGAGTTAACATGCAAAGGCATCCTGACTTCAGTAGTCCTGCGTTATGTCTGGCGTTTACAAAGTTAGCGGGTCCTGATTTGTCTTACATTCCAACCCCCCCTCCGCTTATTTGTTATGGGTTAGAGTCTCAGACGTAAAGTGACGCCTTAATGACCTCCGGCTTAATTCGAGACATTTTAAAACGACACGAGACCGTCTACAAAACCGAAAGCGGACTCATAGAATTGCACTGGCATTTTGCCTGACTCACAGAGGATTACTTTAGCTTCAGTCGAAACACAAATGAGGAGTGGACAGTTGTGGTCTGATCGTCAAATGATCGAATATAACTAGCCGTAATTGAGAATGTCGTGTCCAGCTTTCGGTTGCGTTTGCCTCAGAATTCGTTCTCTTCGGGGGCTGTGGGCGACTCCCATGCCCCGATCGTTCACAACAAGCCTCTGACCCGTCCACGAACTCCGCCGTGTATAATGGTTTACCGGCTTTCCACACCTGATGGTTGACCGCTACCACAGCCGTAGTCCATCTGTGGGGTAGCAACGTAAAGTCAGTTAGATCAGAAAATTCATAGCGAAGCGGATGGTCGTTCGAGAGTCGCCTTTCTGAACGGCTGATACTTCGGCTTAATGCGCCAGGCATGCACCCTGACTTGGCTTTCGGAATAGCATTCAGTCATTCGGTGCTCTCGCATAGTCGTGGACGGACTGTTCACTGCTACTTCAGGCAGCTAAATTTCATGAGCTATCGATGCTCCTCCGTCTGCCCACCAATCAATGGTGTTTTATTTATTCACGTTGGACCCGGCCGCCACTACTTAAATACGGCAAGTAGTATATGAGACGGAGTTAATAACCAACAATTTATGGCCAAAAATTTGCCGCGACCCGTTTTGGTGCCTACGAGAAACGGTTTTCCCGCAAATGCATGCTGAAAGTTTGGAATCCCCAAACGGTCAAAAATAAATACGCCCAGCGTATTGTGAATGGGTGATCCAATTACGAAAACTCGGCGACTTCAGTGGGGGTCGAACCCACAACATCTAGGGGAAAGTTTTGGTACAGCGAAAGCTCTAGCCATCTGATCTACGAGTCCCCACCGCGAACTCTGAGTTTAATCACATATGTGTCGCGTTACCTCTCCAGCATACTGCAACATCTGGAGTCCACCAAATCCGATGCAGTAAGCTGAGTGCTCATACACTTCAGAATCCTCAGGATGAATACCAGGATCACGTGATTAGTCGGTTTTTTGGCCTCGTAATTCGGGTGGCCAGAGCAGTGGCTGTGCTAAAGCCAAAACCCTTGTTGTCGTGGATTCAAATACAACCGAGTTTGGTCAAAATGAATTATACGGGTTTGTACCTTTGCGGAGTGAAGCCAATTTCTTTCGCTAAAAAACGGGAAAAATGCATTCTTTATGATACACTTTGACCTCCCCCGATGTGTAGAGGTGACGTGTGTCATACATTCACCGAATAGGAGGTGTGAGATAAGGCCGTGATGGACAAAAATCTAACGAAGGAGGAATGAAGTTCGAATATTTGGAGATGCATCCGTAGAAATAGAACTTTTGTTGATAGTTTTCCCTAAGTTTACTTTGTCCCTAGAATAAACTCAAGGCTGGATGTTCTTTCTTTTAAAGACAGTCGACTGTCTTCGGCCTTCAGAGCACAGGCATACATCCACTGGTTCAGGCTTAGCTGAGTAAAGTCAAAAGAGATTCAAATTACATGTTTGCCTTGTTTCGGATTCGACTGGACCTTATGTTGTTCCTGTGACGAGAGGCTAGGGAATAACTCTCGGAAATTTGAACCGTCTGATAAATGAACCACTGCTCGCAGGCGAACAAACTTTTCTCTCAAAACCAAACGTAAATAGGACAAAACGGTAAAAGAGTTTTGTAGATATCAAACGATAAAATAAGGCTTTGGAAGAACAGGGAAATAGGAACTTCCCCGGAATACAAATGGCCCTGCGGTTAATTTCTGGATGGATGTACATTCCCGCATCCTATCTCCGGCCCTAAGCCTTAACGTCGGTCCAACACTAGCCCATTAGCTACGGCAGGGCCACCTGTTAAAGGGAATATATCTATATCTATTTTCCTACTCTTCATTAATTTAAACGTTACCTTCTACACACGCCAAACTGGCATCAACCAGAGCAGAGATTCCAAAGAGAAGTATGTGGTTATGTAGTGCCGCCTGATGGACATGATACTTTTGGGTAGGGTTAGGATTCGAGGTTAAAGTTAGGGGTTAGAGTTAGGGCAACTGTTTTTCAACCAGTCGAAACACAACCGCATATTCTCAATAGCTTTTCTTTTGCATGAAACTGCTTGGCCACTTCGCCCGTTAGTTCCCCGGCTCGCCTGTAAAACCCCTATCACCATCGGTCCAGTATTTCACATGGCCGGAGTTCGTTTACTTCAGGTGCGGCTACATAACCACATCTGACCGCTAAATGTTATGTCGGTGGTCTGTTGCCCAGAGAGAACGTATGTTGATAACATCATGAAATCATATGAATAGAGAAAAGGAGTTGGCCTAAAAAACGTACCTAAATCAGTGTTTGTTTTGTGAGACACTTTATATCGCTTGGATCGACCTACGGGTAGATAAAACGGCAAAACCGACACTCATTACGGTTCGAAAAACTCACAACTGACTTCACAGCGTTCGATAAATTCACCCAGAAAAGAGAACTCAAGAGCAGCAACTTGTTTTATACTGATGTAGCATTTATAAAAACATCATGTATCCTTTCAGCCGACTCCGCATTCGCTTACGAATAACAAACTTAGATTCTCAAGAAAATGTTCCTGAGATTTATCCACGCAAATAATTTCTTCTAATCTTTTATCGATAAGGAGTAAGTATATGTGTGGGATATGGAAAAATTATGGAGAAACGCCCACGATATTTTTCGAAGAAAGTGTTGTTCTGTAGAGTTCTCGTCTACACTTAGTCGAGAGAATGACAACTGCAACTTGTACTACTGGAATGCCTACATTGTTTCATTGTTCTACACATTCCACATATAATGCTTCGGTAAGAGGAAAACTTAACTTTAAAAAAGTGTTTGGCACAGAGAACAGGCCGGTAGTAGACAAAATATTTGCAATAATGGTTGCTGGAATGTATACACCTGACAGCAAAGCAGGTGCATTAAAACACTGAGTAGGAGCGCGGACTTCTAAACCAACAGGTCGCGAGTTCGAGCCTCGGGAGTTCCACACTTCGGGATTGGGTATGACTGGCTGACGACGGCCAATAAGCCACAAATGGCCATTCCAGTCTCCCTTGTCTTTGTCGGTAATACTATTCTGCATATATATCATTCGCCGCTGTGCAGCTGCTGCTTGTGCTCGAGAGAGAGCCCGTAAGGTACAACGGCACGAGTGAGTTCCGTAAGAACGATCGGTGATCGCCCCCTATCACTGGTTAATTTGCTAAACAACAGTTGGTACTTTCTTACCCCGCGCATATACTTAATCCTCGCCAAATTTCGCCTTTCAGAAGTCCCTCACATCCCAAAAATGCAATCTCCTTGCCCTCCACGACGACGGGAACAACCTCGGCAGAGGTTTTACCTCACAGGGTAAACGCGCACAGCTCAGATCCCTACTGCCGCGTTCGAAATGTGTACGTCCTACCGGAGTTCTCCTACTGCCTGTCACTCCCAGACCAACGGTTAGAATAGCCTGCCGCCCATGTCCCCTGTCTAACCTCTCACCTCAAAGATGCTGACATTGCCCAACGCCCACCATCCCTCTCTGCCTCTCTCTGTTCTAAAAATGAATTTGAGAAGCGATGCCTGCACAGATATCTGCGCCCAGAATGCCGGCATGTTCTCTCCGTTTTCTACCGTGCGCATCAACTCTTCGGATATCACGTCATCGGATATGCTTCCATGAAACGCGGCGTTTTCCATTTATTTCCTGTGACCATAGTTAGCCCTGATGTCGGATGCCACATGCGGACCTCAGGCGTGTGCATTTGGCCTTAATACGTGCAATTAAATGGGGAATTTGCAGTTTGTTGTAACATAGTTTTCTTTAATATGTTATATACTCTAATCAGCAACCGAGCTTTATAGAGAATGGATTTAACTAAATTGCGCATAGGCATCCACTTTTTAATTTTCCACCCAGGAAGACGGATGCATTTTGTACCAACGCGGAATGAGCAGTTTGCATCTGTGGACAGAACTCCCTGGAGAATGCCACTCGGTAATCTTGGCAAGGCGCAAGGCATAGGGCAGACATTTTTATCACTGCAAAAGCCGATAATTTGGCCAGCAGTCGAAAGCATCCGGACGCTACAGACTTCTGTACAAGCACATATTTTATAAAGCACCACGTACGGCTGCTGATGAACTTGCAGAGTTCGATTGGCCCCTAACCGTCGTTCTTCTATTAGCCCCAGGAGTACTTGTAATGAGCCAGCCTTGGTCAACTTTAAGGGCCACGTGGGTGTGTATGTGTGTGCGCGTCGGTGTGTGTGTGTGTCCAACCCCCGTTGTGTGAAATCCTGGTGTTTGTGTGTATGGGGGGGGGGGCAGGTCGTGCTGTGGCGCGCGCAGGCATGGTCAGGCGACCATGCCAGCCACCGCGCACATTCCCCACTTTAGTCTACTGACCGGCTCGGACAGCGGCTGGGGTGTGGGGATGGGAAGAGAGAGTGAGGTCGACGACTCAGCGCACTTTCCTCACTATAAACAATCTGACGCACTTGAAGCTATCAAGGTGCGCTAAAAGCCGCTGCTTGGATGGTTGCCAACTGACGGGGTAAATTGGACCTCCTTTTTGACTGGTGGTAGTCTGAGAGTCAGGCTGCGATGGCTCCTTTTTAATGTAGTTTTTATGGCACTCCCACCACAGTGTGGGATCCGAGCCAGGCGTTGGCGGCACGCCTAGGTGCGGCTGCTTCGGCCGTGCCAGCCTCCAAATCTCTGTTGTGTTGGTTGAAACCCTGGTTATTGTTGTGTGGACCAGGGGGCGTGGTGGAACGCCAAGGCGAGGATCCGTCCGAGCCATCCACCTGCGGCCTCCCTCGTCTCTGGTCTTCTTGACTCTGTCTTGACACCGGGCCCAGGCGGGGGAGGAGGAGAGAGTGTAGGTAGATGCAGCGCAAGTCTACTGGCACTACAAACCCCTGCGCAAGTCACCGTCCCTGCTCCCACAATGCAGTCTGTGGGGCACACGGTGGTCATCGTCGAAACCGACGGACGAACTGTCGTGTGTGTGCGTGCGTGTGTGTGTGTGTGTGTGTGGGGGGGGGTGTAGGGGTGTCAGCGGTGGGTCCACGTGATGGTCGTAGTGGTCGCTCACTTGCTTGCAGGTGAGACTACGCCTAGCGTCCATTTGCTGGCACCTAACTCTCACCTGTGGCTCCACGTAGCTGGGCTCTGCTCAGCGGCCACACACCGAGCAACCGTCTCGACGGGCGGGCTAAACCAGGTGAGGGTATTCGTGCGTGCAACTGCACGCGCGGTACTGTGGTCTGCGCTGGCCGGATGGATCTTCGCGTCGACATCGTCGAGACTAGGCTTTGCCTGGACCATCGCAGGAGGCCACCAGGTAAGTTCCCCCTCAGGTAAGTGCGTTTGCTTTGTTTCTTCCTTTTGTTTGTTGAAGTTCCGCGTCGTACGCTGCGCTTGCTGCCTGCCCTTTATATGCTAGTCTGTCTGTCAATAGCTAAACGACACCCTCGATGCCTGCTGCGATTGTCTGTCCGTCAGTCTATGCCACTCTCTACTAATAGCTAGGTGTTACGGTGCTTGACTTTGTGTGGTGCCCTCACTTTGTCTCTGACTGATGACTGTGTCCGCTTGTCCACTCTAGTTCTAAGTCCCCTAGCGTTAGTTAGTGTGTATGCTCTCTCCTACTTCACTCCATCACATCATTACCACCACCAAGGTCCCAGGCTAATTCGGGTCGTTCTCTCACTAACAAAAAGTCGTGGCCCATAATGGAGTCCGGCAGCCGTCAGGGATAACCGGGCAGCCCTGTTCAGGGATGCGTTGCCTGCCCCCGCGAGGGGGAGGGGGCTAGAAAAGGTGCCCTAAATATCGCTGGGAACCACGCTGTCTGTAGGCTGGCCGTGGCCGCAGACAAAAAAAACACGGTCGAAACAGCCAAAACCGAAACAACAACAACAACAATCGCTCTCTTCATCTTCCAGCCTATTCTTCTTCTTCTCCTACTCCTACATTTCGCCGCAGCAGTCGCCAGACTGGCAGGGTGAGCCCGCTCACTCTGGCAGCCTAGAATGTTCGTTCCCTTTTAGACAATCCGAGGAGCAACCGGCCGGAACGGAGGACGGCGCTAGTGGCACGAGAACTGGCGCGCTACAAGGTGGACATCGCCGCACTAAGCGAGACCCGATTCTCCGAACAAGGCCAGCTGGAGGAGGTGGGTGCCGGTTACACCTTCTTCTGGAGTGGCCGACCCAGGGCAGAGCGACGAGACGCGGGCGTCGCCTTCGCCATCCGGACCGACATCGTGGGACGACTGCCCTGTTTGCCGCAGGGAATCAACGACCGCCTGATGAGTCTCCGCCTGCCCCTCCGGCGAGGAGGCAAGTTCGCCACCATCATCAGCGCCTACGCTCCGCCGAAGAGCAGTTCCGACGCCGCCGCAAGAGACAAATTCTACGAGGACCTGCACGCCCTCTTGGCGACTGTGTCGAAGGCGGACAAGTTGATCGTCCTTGGCGACTTCAACGCCCGCGTCGGCACAGACCATACTGCCTGGAGGGGAGTGCTGGGTCCTCACGGTCTCCGCGGCTCCAACGACAACGGCCTGCTGCTCCTCCGCACCTGCGCAGAACACCGCCTTACCCTGACGAATACCTTCTTCTGTCTGCCGGAGCGAGAGAAGGCCACCTGGAGGCATCGTCGGTCGCGTCAGTGGCACCTACTGGACTATGTCCTCGTCCGGAGGCGAGATCAGCGGGACGTGCTGGTGACGAAGGCGATCCCGGGTGCTGGCGGGTGGACCGACCATCGCCTCGTCATCTCGAAGATGCGTATTCGCCTACAGCCTCGCAGGAGACCACAAGGTAAGCGACCCCCAGGTAAGCTGAATGTTGCCTTGTTGTCTTTGCCCGCTCACCATCTCCATTTCAGCGATGAGCTAGCTCAACGGCTAGACAACCTTCCTATCGCTGCCGCCGACGACGCCGCCGCTGCCGAAAACGCCTCCGTGGAGAACCGCTGGTGTCAACTGCGAGACACGGTCCAGTCGACGGCGCTCGCCGTCCTCGGTCGCGCTCCCCGCCAACACCAGGACTGGTTCGACGACAACAACGCCGCCATCAGAAATCTGCTTGCTGAGAACAACCGCCTCCACAAAGCCTACGTAGATCACCCTACTAAGGACAACAAAGCTGCCTTCTACCGCAGTCGCCGACAGCTTCAGCAACGACTGCGCGAGATGCAGGACGCCTGGACTGCTCGCAAAGCTGAGGAGATCCAAGGCTACGCGGACCGCAACGAATGGAAGAACTTCTTCTCCGCGATCAAAGCTGTCTACGGTCCGCCGACGAAGGGCACTGCTCCTCTCCTCAGCGCCGACGGCAGCACTCTCCTGACTGAGAAGACGCAAATCCTACAGCGATGGGCCGAGCATTTCCAGGGCATCCTCAACCGCCCTTCCGTCATCTCCGACGCCGCCATCGCCCGCTTGCCGCAAGTGGCGACCAACGTGGACCTCGACCTCCCGCCATCTCTCCAGGAGACCATAAAGGGCCGTGCAGCAACTCTCCAGCGGGAAAGCACCCGGATCGGACGCAATCCCTGCTGAGGTCTACAAGCACGGAGGTCCCCTACTGATGGATCACCTGACTGCGCTCTTCCAGGAGATGTGGCGTCAAGGTGAAGTCCCGCAAGATTTCAAGGACGCAACTATCGTGCACCTATACAAGCGCAAAGGGAATCGCCAAGTCTGCGAAACCACCGCGGCATCTCCCTACTGAACATCGCCGGGAAGATCTTCGCTCGCATCCTGCTCAACCGCCTCAACATCCATTTGGAACAGGGCCATCTGCCGGAAAGCCAATGCGGCTTCCGTCGTCATCGTGGGACCACGGATATGATCTTCGCCGCCTGCCAACTTCAGGAGAAGTGCCAGGAGATGCGGACCCACCTGTACTCTACCTTCGTGGACCTGACGAAAGCCTTCGACACGGTGAATCCTGAAGTACTGTGGAAGATCATGCAGAAATTCGGCTGTCCGGAGCGATTCACTCAGATGGTGCGTCAGCTGCACGAAGGTATGATGGCGCGAGTCACGTACAACGGCGCTGTCTCAGAGGCATTCGCAGTGACCAACGGAGTGAAGCAGGGCTGTGTGCTGGCGCCTGCCCTCTTCAGTCTTATGTTCTCTGCCATGCTGATGGATGCCTAACGCGACGAACGCCCTGGAATCCGCATCGCCTATAGAACGGACGGTCATCTGCTGAATCACCGGCGCATGAACTTCCAATCGCGTGTATCCACAGCCACCGTGCACGAACTCCTCTTCGCCGACGACTGCGCCCTGAACACCACCTCGGAAGAGGAGATGCAACGCAACATGGACCTATTCTCCGCCGCCTGCGAGAACTTTGGGCTGGTTATCAACACGCAGAAGACGGTGGTGATGCATCAGCCGCCTCCCAATTCAGCCACAGCCCCCAACCCGCCGCAAATCAACGTGAATGGGACTCAACTGCAAGTGGTAGAGAACTTCCCGTACCTGGGCAGCACCCTCTCCCGCAACACCAAGATCGACGACGAAGTCGCCAACAGGATCTCGAAAGCCAGTCAAGCCTTCGGTCGCCTCAAAAGCACAGTTTGGAATCCTCATGGTCTCCAACTGAGCACGAAGCTGAAGATGTACAAGGCCGTCATCCTGCCGACGCTACTGTACGGAGCGGAGACCTGGACGGTTTACACGAGGCAGGCACGTCGACTAAACCACTCCCACCTCAGTTGTCTTCGTCGCATCCTGAGGCTGAAGTGGCAGGATCGAATCCCCGACACCGAAGTGCTGGAACGGACGGGAATTCTGAGCATCTACTCCATGTTGAGACAAATACAGCTGCGCTGGAGCGGCCATCTGGTGCGCATGGACAACGAGCGACTACCCAAACGTTTCTTCTACGGAGACGTCGCGACGGGCTCTCGTCGTCAAGGAGGCCAAATTCGCCGTTACAAGGATACCCTAAAGTCCTCCCTGAAGCGCCTACAAATCAACCCGACCAACTGGGAAGAGCTCGCCCGCGATCGCCCGACATGGAGGAGAACAGTGAAGACGGGAGCTGCTATCTACGAAGCCAACCGCATCGCCGCCGCCAAAGTGAAACGCGAAGCCCGCAAATCACAACTTCGCCCAGTCCGCAACGCCGTCGCACAACCGCTCCCAACGTGTCCTCGATGTCAACGGACATTCCGGGCACGAATCGGACTTGTTGTACATCTCCGAACCAACTGCACCTCTCGAACTGCTCCAGCCATCGTCCCCGCGCCCGCCCCTTCCTCCTCCCTTCCGCCAACTAACTCTGACACTCCTTCTGCACCACCACTTCCATCCTCCTCCTTCTCCTCCACTGCCCCAGCGGCGGCCGTTCAGACTGCCGTCTCACACATCACCAACCCCGACACAATAACCGCCACCACCACCACCTCTCCCGATTCCAGTGATGAGGATCAGGACTACATCTGCCCTCACTGCGACCGCGCCTTCACCTCACGCATCGGCCTAGTCGGTCACTTGCGAATCCATTGCACAGAGACTGGCGAACCAGTGCCTGGAGCACCAACCTACACCCACCGCACTCGCCTCCACTGCCCACACTGCCATCGCACCTTCACTCATCGCATGGGTCTATTCGGCCACATGCGCATCCACGAGAGCGGAATTGACCACAATTCCGATACAGCCACGACATCCAACACATCCACCACGCCCAGACCCATCCTCGCTCCACCGTCACACGCGCCGACCACCACCACCGCCACCACCACTATCACCACTGCTTCCTCTACAGATGACACCGACACCGCGGACCACTCATGCCCACACTGTTCACGCACATTCACCTCACGCATCGGCCTGGTCGGTCACTTGCGAATCCATCGCACAGAGACTGGCGAACCAGTGCCTGGAGCACCAACCTACACCCACCGCACTCGCCTTCACTGCCCACACTGCCCTCGCACCTTTACGCATCGCATGGGTCTATTCGGCCACATGCGCATCCACGACGACCTGCGGTAAACAACCGCCGGTCACACCACGCATTCCCTCACTCCCTACCTCCTAACACCATCACTCCGCCAGACATCAACCCTCACACACCCCATGCACTCAACTGCCGCCTCCCACGCAAGTGGAAAGTGTGCATCTCGACTCGGTCCCCATGCGGCTTCGGCTGCACGGGCGACTTGTGTCCGAGACTATCCCGACACGTCAAGTGTCGTGGATAGGAAGGTTGCTGATTGAGGCCCGCTCTCGGTTCACGCAGTTCGTCACGTTGTGTGTGTGTGTGTGTGTGTGTGTGTTGTGTGGAGTGGCAGACTGGTGGGCTGGGGACGGGCTGCAACAGCACCTTCCACGGCACTGTCACGCAAGTGAGAGACACGCCGTTCAACCCCCGTTGTGTGAAATCCTGATGTTTGTGTGTGTATGGGGGGCCAGATCGTGCTGTGGCGCGCGCAGGCATGGTCAGCCGACCATGTCAGCCACCGCGCCCATTCCCCACTCCAGTCTACTGACCGGCTCGGACAGTGGCTGGGGTGTGGGAATGGGAAGGGAGAGTGAGGTCGACGACTCAGCGCATTTTCCTCACTATAATCAATCTGACGCGCTTGAAGCTATCACGGTGCGCTAAAAGCCGTGGCTTGGAAGGTTGCCAACTGACGGGGTACCGTGAACCTCCTCCTTAACGGGAGGCGGTCTGAGAGTCAGGCTGCAATGGCTCCTTTTTAATGTGGCCTTTATGGCATTCCCACCACAGCGTGGGATCCGAGCCAGGCGTTGGCGGCACGCCTAGGCGCGGCTTCGGCCGTGCCAGTCTCCAAATCTCTGTTGTGTTGGTGAAAATCCTGGTTATTTGTTCTGTGGACCAGGGGGTATGGTGGAACGCCAAGCTGAGGATCGGTCCGAGGCATCTACCTACGGGCTCCCTCGTCTCCGGTCTTTTTGACTCTGTCTTAACACTGGGCTCAGGCGGGGGAGGAGGAGGGAGTGTAGGTAGATGCTGCGCAAGTCTACTGGCACTATAAACCCCTGCGCAAGTCACCGTCCCTGCTCCCACCGTTGCAGCTGCAGTTGTGGGGCGCACGGTGGACATCATCGAAATCGATGGTCCAACTATCGTGTGTGTGTGTGTGTGTGCCCTCTAAACGGGCCACGTGTTAGATGCGCTGGACCAACACGGGGGCCACATCGGACTCTGGCAGGCGTTATCTGTGCGCAATAACAAATGCCAACATCTACGGGGTGCGGTGGCAGATCCTGTTGTCGGCATTCGTCGCACAACTGGACCACTGCCTCCACCCCATTGTTTTGTGGTCAAAATCCTGGTCATTGGTGTGTGGACCAGGGGGTGCGGAGTGGGGCGCAAAGGCAAGGATCCGTCCAAGCCATCCACCTGCGGCCTCCCCCGTCTCCGGTCTTCTTGACTCTGTCTTGACACCGGGCTCAGACGGGGGAGGAGGAGAGAGTGTAGGTAGATGCAGCGCAAGTCTACTGGCACTATCAACCCCTGCGCAAGTCACCGTCCCTGCTCCCACCGCTGCCTCAGCTGTGGGGCACACGGTGGACATCGTCGAAATCGACGGTCGAACTGTCGTGTGTGTTTGTGTGTGTGTGTTGCGTTTCGCGTCCCATAAAGGACAGCATGATAAAATGTGCCGGCCCAACACAGGGACCATATCGGATTCTTTCAGGCGTTATTAGATTTGCGCACCATAACAAATGCCAAGATTTGGGGGTGCGGTGGCGGACCCGGTTGCCGGAGTACGTCGGGTACGCTGGGACCCTGCCACTCCCCCCCCCCCCCATTGTTGTTGTTAATCAAAAACCTGGTTATTTGCTGTCTGGGCCAGACGGTGTGGAATGAAACGCCAGGGTGCGGGCTCGGCCGTGCCCTCCCCCCTCCGATATTCTTGACTCCGTCTGGACACCGGGTCCAGGTGGGGGAGGAGGATGGAGTGCGGTAGATGCAGTACAAGTTCATTATCACTATAAACTCGTCTTCGCACAAGTCAATGTCCTCGTCCCACCCTGCTCTCGAGCACACGGTGAACATGGTCGGATGCGACGGTTGAACTATCGTGTGTGTGTGTGTGGGTGTTGTGTGTGTGTGGGTGTTGTGTGTATGTGTGTTGCAGTAAGATGTGGTTATGCAGTCGCACCCGATGGACACAATGCAGTTAGGGGTTTTGGTTAGGGCAACTATTTCCCAACCACTCAACGCACAACCGGGCATTCCCAGCAGCTTTTAATTTGCATGTTAGTTCTTGACCTCGTCGTCTCTGCAATCTCCAGTCCCACCTGTAAACTCCCTTATAATTAGCAGTCCCGTATTACAGGCGGCTGGGGTTTGTTTGACTCAGGTGTGGCTGCACAATTACATCTGACTTGTGCTGCGTTTCGAAATGAAGTTAACTCTCATCTTTTTTAAATAAGTCTTTGACATCGCAAAGACTGCACTGAGAAGATCGTACGGCCTGTGCGTCACTTATCCTTTCCCATCGCAAGCTGATTGGTCGCTTGCATCGTAGTATGATACGAATATGAGATTAAATAACTAGCCCGTCTCACCAAGGTGAAGCACTTCTGCGTTGCAATACAAACGGGCTACAGGTTTAAATGTACTCTACTCAGCCTTGGTAACCTGGCCCTGGACAATTCCCTCAAATTATGAGGAGGCCTGTGAAAATGCACGCGAAAGGCACCTCCGGCGGATGAGATTTAAAACTCACGTGGCGCGCACGCAAGAAACCAATTAACTGTTGTCGTGCAACCAATTTACTTTACCACACAATCTCATTTTCCATATGAACATTATATCGAGACCACGCTGAAATTTGACGAGAGCGGTTCAAGGAACCCTTGCGCGAAGTTGGGCACTTCGACAGCATAAAACAGAGAGTAAGAAGAATGCTCGTGGTTAGATCTGTGAAATATGGATAGAGGGAAAGCAAATTAAAATTACGAGACTCATACAAATGAGTGGCCGGATGAAGGTCATCGGGGTGGACGAAGAGTACGACGTGCATAAATACAGCTGCGAATAAGGTGACGCACTGACTCAAATCGCTGTATTCTGATGCACATGTAACTCGCGCACACAAGACCATGATAGAGCATCTCATTAAGCAAATTACAGCAACCCTCAGGAAAAGGCATTTTGAACGTAGCATAACAAAAGTCATTTTTAACTTGCAAAATAGCTGGATGACTCCGGTGAGAACATATCAGCGATGCGCGGTCCCTAAAGGACTATCCTTTAAGTAATTTCCCAGTGCATTGAAAAAAATAAACAATGAAAAAACTGCTGAAATGAGCCTTAGACGCACTCTCTCTGGTAAATGATAAAAGTGATAATGCCATGTTTGCGGATGACATAAAAATCTGAAAAGTTATCCAGAATGCTACCGATGAAACCAACGTCCAAGAAAATCTTTGTCGATGGACGAGTGGTCCCGCAGATGACTCTTGTCCTCCAATTTGACCAAATGCACCATTCTGCGCGTCGGAAATCAGACCCCAAGTACGCGGCAATACCACCTGAACGGAATACCACTTCGAGAAGCAAAAACGCAGAAAGATCTCAGAGTCTGGGTTGCAGACAGCCTTAAGCCTTCTACGCAATGTTGTAAGGCGGCCAAGGCGGCAACTTCAATGCTATATGCCATCAAGCGGGCATTCGCAGTTTTCGATGAAGACTACTTCTCCAAAGTCTTCGGCACGTTTGTAAGACCGCACCTCGAATATGAAATTCAGGCCTGGAGACCATGGACAATCTGCTCGAAAGGGTGCAGAGGCGAGCCACAAAATTAGTAAGAGGTCAAAGTGCACTGCCATATGAGATGCGCTTAACTAACCTTAATCTCTATCCTCTGAGTTATAGGCAGTTGCGCGGAGACTTGATACAAACTTTCCGTATCGTGCGTGCCTTGGACTGCGTCCTTCAGTGCGATGAATTTTTCCAACTCGCCACAACAACTAACCTCCGGGGACATCCCTTAAAGCCACGTGTGCCCCAAGGTAGATTGAATATGAGAAAATATTTCTTCTCCAACCGTATCGTGGAACCGTGGAATAATCTGCTCGAGACGATTGTCATGTCTCAATCTGTAGCGACATTTAAATATAGGCTTAACAGACATATGCTACAGCATCAAGCGAACTTTGTGGATTTTTAGCCATGAGACCAGTAACATATGTGAATCAATACCTGCATACACTTACTGCTGTAATTTCTTCACATTTTAGATTATTTATCGATTTTTTATGTACAAATAGGGAGTTCAAAGCCGTAAGCCTATTTCCCTCAAATAAACTGACTGACTGACTGGCAAATGCATGGCCTAGTATTTAAAACCGGATGGAGTTGAGAATTTCAAACCAACGCCAGTGAGTAGTTACTACCAATACCACTAAGACTCGGGCATATCGCGAAAGAACGTCTGGGCAAACTTCAAAACATGGCAACACTCATATTGGACAATTTTTCTGGTCTTATTCTAATGCATAAAAGTGTTTAAGTTTCGAGAATCGAATCACTTCTGGCGACATCTAAAAGTGCACACGAAGATTTGGAATAAGTTCACGTTGGGGCAAAACTTTACAAGGAAGATACAATTAAACGACCCAAATTTGGTATAAATTAAAAAAATCTGCAGAGTAGAAGAATGATAAATTTGCAGCAAATAAAAAAACACTGATTCATCGCAGCAGTTCGTGTGCAATGATGGATAATTCGAACATATCGGTCAAACACTACCTCAGAATGTACGCATTACACGTACAGTAGGTGGGCTATCTCATGAAATGTCAACCGAAATTCAAAAATGCGTTTTGTTCCGAAAAAATTAAATAAGTAGGGTTCTGAAACTAATTAGCCTACAGCATAATTCTATCATAAGTCGGGTACCTCAGGATGCCAGCTTTCCAACGAACTTCTTTCCGATCGCATAAAAAAACCAAACTACGTAAAAAATGACTACTTAAGAGGCATACATCTTTCTCACTGATTTTCGATGTCC